ATGGAAATAAGAGCAGTGTGTATGCATCTTTTCACCTCTCTCTCCCAAGTTCACAATATCCAAGGAGATTTTTTTTAAAACTATTCTATTATAAATGTGTTTTCTGAAGAACAAATATAATGTCAACCTCACAATCATCCCTATAATGACAGCAAATGGATTAAGCTTTTAATTGGTTGAGCAATTACTGTGGCCATTAGAGAGCAAATGATCTCTCTTATCATTATTGCCATAACCACTCTACCACCCATATTGGGACTCTGCTCTTGTGTTAGAGCTCTGCGGATTCGGTTGGGCAGCAGGTGTCTTTTCTTCGCGCCAGAAGAATCCTTAACCTCTTCCCTCCCACGCAGACCTCTGATCGATGTCGAGGCGTTTTTCTATCGCGCGCCAGAGGGCTGGAGAAAAAGCGCTTATGCTCATGTAGTAAATTAAAATTAACTGTAGATGTGAATGTCTGCTACTGTACTTCATGCGAGTGGAAAGCAAGCAAGGAAATAATGCACCATACCGTGTGAGGACCGTCTTGAGAGAAGGTATGAAATTATAACTAGGCCTACTTTTTTGGGTTGTATTCATTTTAAATTAATGGTTCATTATCACATGCAAAACATGTATTTCACCGGTTTCAATTAATTCCTTCTCAGTTAATAACTACATGATTTAATGACTCCTATAAGTGGTACCAACTTTGAAAACTGGTTATCAAGTACTAATATTGCGATTTAAACGTTTATTTTTTACGATTATGACCTAGAGTGAAGGACCATCAGTTGAAGACGTTCCACCTGGACCAGAGAAACTCTCCGTGACTGTAGGCTATCTTAATCCGTGAAGACAAGACAGGAAGCATCAGAAACAGGGTATATTTTTCTTTGCCTATTTTATTAACAGTGATTAAATAGGCTATACATTTAAAAGTGACAATGAATAACTTAATTATTGTCCAGCTTTGTTGTCAGTCAGTGTTTGGAGAAAAAAGGCAACAGCAACAACTAATTTCCTCCAGCATTGAAATGGAAAAAGAGAGCTTCCACTGCTGACACTGACAACTCACTTGCTGATGCTCAGTCAGTATGTCTCTTAACCATTTATTAGGATTAGGGCTAGTTGTAAGGATTCTGCTCTGCTGGGTTATTGCCACACCCATGGTAGAGTAGTAACAGTTGTGTTGATGCAATGTGAAGAGCATGTATTTTATATGAATGAACAAATATGTGAAGGACCACATTTTTAAAAAATGAGTTTGCTTTGTCATGTATAGCTATTTCCAGCCCTGGGAATGCTGGGGAGACTAACGTTGGCTAGGGCAGTGGGACACGGGTAGGGTAGGTTGCGGTTAAACTGTACCTGCAGTTGTCCCAGGGATTTGTAGTGGTGTTCCACTGTGTGTGTGTGTGTGTGTGTGTGTGTGTGTGTGTGTGTGTGCGTGCGTGCGTGCGTGCGTGCGTGCGTGCGTGCGTGCGTGCGTGCGTGTGCTGGCAGGGAGGGAGGGAGGGAGGGAGGGAGGGAGGGCAGAGCAGGCATGTGAAGGTCAGGTCAGACGTGATGACAGACCTTTTCATGTCTGCCCGCTTCAGATTAGTGAAGTGTCACCTCCAGTCACTCTGGCCCTGAGGCTCTGGACAGTACATATAATCTGTTTTATCTAGGCTTTGGACTGTTTGAAAATAATCCCTAAACTAAACCATGAGTGGTGAGTATGCTATAATGCTTAAAGAGTACGCTAAAGGTAAGTCAGATTGAGTCAGCTTGAAAACAAGTGTCCACAAGTGGGAGATTAAGTTGTGTAGCTAAAAGGGACCTGTTTATATTTTCTGCACAAACTTTGTGTCTCTGAGAAACTGTGCTGTTTGATTTCGCACAGTGATTTTGCTTCTTTGTCTCCAACACTTGCTTAGAAAAGCTGTGATTTGTTTCTGTCTGTAAGACGTTACAATTATACTGTAGAATTACTGTAGAAATACCATCTCCTTTAACAAAATGGGGCCATGTCTATGCTAGCCTGGTCCCAGATCTGAATGTGTTTTTTACCCAACTTCTCCATACATGGCATGACAATGCTAGTCAGAGGAGTTGGCTATAGCTCACACAGATCTGGGACCAGGCTAATATAGGCTACCTGTGCCCTGGGAGGTGACACCCAGGGACTCATCCAGTCAGAAATGCATGCAACTTTAATACCATACTGCTGGGCGTCTGAACCAGGACTGGCAAAGCTTGCCAGCCTGCCAGCTTGCCAGGGAGCTGCCAATGTGGTTGCTATTCAGAGTAGTTCGTATTTACTGTAGTTGAATCTTCATTGAGTATGCCTGTATGCTGTCTGTATCCACCCCGTTAAGATTATAAGGCACGTATTAGGTGAATTTCCTGGGATCAGTTACATATATGATATGATTTGGACCTGACCCTTCTCATTCTTCTGGAGGCATTCATTGACATAGCTTGAACACTGTATATGCAGCACAATCATTATTTTCTGTTTCAAATTAATAGATTAACCATCCATTTGAATAATAACTGCATGGAGAACTCCATAATTGTATCCACTTATTGATGCATACAACGCCCACATCCATTAAGCCTACTGTGTAAGAGTGAATAGAACCCCATTCACTGTTATATGAGGCTTTCTGATTCATTGTAAAACAGTGTGAGTACGTTTCAATCAAGGTCAGTATCACAATGGATGGCTTTCAAACACTTGATCTGTTGATTCGTTAAAACACAGGCACTATTTTCTACAGTGTGGAGTATTATGCTACTGACGCCAAGCTAAATGATAGATATGGACCAAGGCTCATTCAAAAGTCCTCTCCACGATGGATGGATGGATTGCATTGTGAACATTTATAGACAGAGCAGAGCAAAACAATGAACAAAGAAGATCAATGGGCAATAAGACAGAATAGGAGGACATTCCCTGTGGACCATGATGCCACTGGTCACCTCTAGTTAGTGTTGATCCTTGGGGGAAGCTGTAGAGATATAAAGGCTGTTCAGAGGACGATCTGGAAGAAGGAATACACAGCTTCAGTGAGGGACACAGCTACAGACACACTATCTGCCTTATAGGATTGCCTTGGACCAGGTAGGATGATAGGATCATCATTCAGAAAATAATTCATATTTCAGTGCAGAGCTGTGATACTGTATGTATTACTCATGTATTTCATCAAAGCTCATCCATCACTGTTTGAATATTAGCAATGACAATCAGGTTCCTGAGTGCTGAATTTATCAATATTTCCAACCAACTCCTCTATCAAGAGCTCCTGTGCACTTCATACATACAGTGGGGGAAAAAAGTATTTAGTCAGCCACCAATTGTGCAAGTTCTCCCACTTAAAAAGATGAGAGAGGCCTGTAATTTTCATCATAGGTACACGTCAACTATGACAGACAAAATGAGAAAAAAAAATCCAGAAAATCACATTGTAGGATTTTTAATGATTTTATTTGCAAATTATGGTGGAAAATAAGTATTTGGTCAATAACAAAAGTTTCTCAATACTTTGTTATATACCCTTTGTTGGCAATGACACATGTCAAACGTTATCTGTAAGTCTTCACAAGGTTTTCACACACTGTTGCTGGTATTTTGGCCCATTCCTCCATGCAGATCTCCTCTAGAGCAGTGATGTTTTGGGGCTGTCGCTGGGCAACACGGACTTTCAACTCCCTCCAAAGATTTTCTATGGGGTTGAGATCTGGAGACTGGCTAGGCCACTCCAGGACCTTGAAATGCTTCTTACGAAGCCACTCCTTAGTTGCCCGGGCGGTGTGTTTGGGATCATTGTCATGCTGAAAGACCCAGCGACGTTTCATATTCAATGCCCTTGCTGATGGAAGGAGGTTTTCACTCAAAATCTCACGATACATGGCCCCATTCATTCTTTCCTTTACACGGATCAGTCGTCCTGGTCCCTTTGCAGAAAAACAGCCCCAAAGCATGATGTTTCCACCCCCATGCTTCACAGTAGGTATGGTGTTCTTTGGATGCAACTCAGCATTCTTTGTCCTCCAAACACGACGAGTTGAGTTTTTACCAAAAAGTTCTATTTTGGTTTCATCTGACCATATGACATTCTCCCAATCCTCTTCTGGATCATCCAAATGCACTCTAGCAAACTTCAGACGGGTCTGGACATGTACTGGCTTAAGCAGGGGGACACGTCTGGCACTGCAGGATTTGAGTCCCTGGCGGCGTAGTGTGTTACTGATGGTAGGCTTTGTTACTTTGGTCCCAGCTCTCTGCAGGTCATTCACTAGGTCCCCCCGTGTGGTTCTGGGATTTTTGCTCACCGTTCTTGTGATCATTTTGACCCCACGGGGTGAGATCTTGCGTGGAGCCCCAGATCGAGGGAGATTATCAGTGGTCTTGTATGTCTTCCATTTCCTAATAATTGCTCCCACAGTTGATTTCTTCAAACCAAGCTGCTTACCTATTGCAGATTCAGTCTTCCCAGCCTGGTGCAGGTCTACAATTTTGTTTCTGGTGTCCTTTGACAGCTCTTTGGTCTTGGCCATAGTGGAGTTTGGAGTGTGACTGTTTGAGGTTGTGGACAGGTGTCTTTTATACTGATAACAAGTTCAAACAGGTGCCATTAATACAGGTAACGAGTGGAGGACAGAGGAGCCTCTTAAAGAAGAAGTTACAGGTCTGTGAGAGCCAGAAATCTTGCTTGTTTGTAGGTGACCAAATACTTATTTTCCACCATAATTTGCAAATAAATTCATTAAAAATCCTACAATGTGATTTTCTGGATTTTTTTTTCTCATTTTGTCTGTCATAGTTGACGTGTACCTATGATGAAAATTACAGGCCTCTCTCATCTTTTTAAATGGGAGAACTTGCGCAATTGGTGGCTGACTAAATACTTTTTTTCCCCCACTGTATTGTTCATTCACTGCATTATAACAGAATGCTTATAGTCTCCATCTTCTCTCCTCCAGTTTCCCACGAAACCTGCCTGCTGGATCAGGTGCTGGAGCTGATTATGAATGAGAAGCCCCCCAACACTACCAGCCTTTTCCTGAACGAGGAAGCCGACAAGCCCCCCCTCCCCAAACGAGGCCTCTGGCGGCGGCTACGTAGGGCCATGCAGAAGAAAGCGGCCTGCACCAAGGACAGGATGAGCACCATCACTAAGGAGAACGTCAAGGGCTTCCTGAGACGCAACCTCTTTGTCCTCCTCACCATCGCAGCAGTGGCTCTGGGCAAGTGGACGAGATACTCTCTTACTGTCTTACTAGGTTTAGGGCAAAGGTTAAGGTGGGGTTAAAGGTTAGGGCTAAGGTTATGGGTAGTTTGTTGATAGTTAAAACAATGTTAATAAAAAAAACGATATTAATTGCAGGATTATTACACAGGTATATGAGCTGTAGCCCTAGGTAAAGAAGTCTGTGTCGAGAATACTTGAAATACAGTATTCTTCATCAATGCACCAGCCTTTAAATCATGTCCCCTGTCTGTGTGTCCAGGTGTCATGCTGGGTTTCGCCCTGCGGCCCCACAACCTGACTCTCAGGGAGATCAAGTACTTTGCCTTCCCTGGAGAGCTGCTGATGAGGATGCTGCAGATGCTGGTTCTGCCTCTCATCATCTCCAGCCTGGTCACAGGTAGCTGGTCACAGGACTTCTGCTTTATTAGCATCATTATTTGCATTTATGTATTGCTTTTCTCAAACTCAAAATGATTTACATTTTATGGTGATCTCTCACCCCTCATGTAAGCTACTATTTTCCATACTAAGCTACTATTTTTCACCCTAATACTACTTCTTGCTGTTTTGAGTTTCAAAGTTAGTTGGTACAGTGGAAGTACCTAGAGTATTCATGAGAAAATAATGAACCTTGTCTTGCAGGTATTTCCTCTCTGGACAGCAAAGCGTCTGGGAAGATGGGAATGCGGGCTGTGGTTTATTACATGGTGACCACCCTCATCGCTGTCTTCATTGGCATCGTCATTGTGATTGTCATCAAACCAGGGAAAGGCCATAGGGACAGCCCAGTGGCCTCTAGCGGTACCATAGAGCCGGTACAAGCAGCTGATGCTTTCCTGGATCTCATCAGGTGAGTAACTGCTGAATGATCTAAATGACGGTGTCAATATGCGGTATATCATTTATTGGCCTTTATTCACCATTGTTTATCTTTCAGGAACATGTTCCCTCCTAATTTGGTGGAAGCCTGTTTCAAGCAGGTAAGGGAATTCACTTCAACATGATTGATCATGTTGCCGATTCCCAATACACTGAGTTAAAATGCTTACTCACCATTACAGTATGTTGTTGAGGACTGATACTCTTCACTGCTACAATAGATTTTTTTTTACAAGAATATATGTGTTATAAATGCACTGTCTTCCTCAGTACAAAACGGTCTACAAGAAGACCATCCACACGAAGAACGTGACTGTTGCACCCAGTCTAACTGACTCCCTCAACACTACAGAGGCTGCCTTGGCTGTTAACATGAGCAGAGTGCTGCAGACCATCCAGGTGGGTGATACATATTAGTGGTGGATGGGGTGACTTACCCTGAAGTCCTATGGGGAAAAAAGTGCTACAGTTACTTTGGATAAATGTGAATGTAAATGTTATGTGGATGGTTGTTCTGCTCCTGCTCCAGGAGACAGTGGTAGAGATGATCCCAGTGTCTGGTTCCTCTAATGGGGTGAACGCCCTGGGTCTGGTGGTGTTCTCCATGTGCTTCGGCCTGGTCATCGGCAGCATGAAGCAACAAGGACAGGCTCTCAGGGACTTCTTCGACTGCCTCAATGAAGCCATCATGCGCCTGGTGGCCATCATCATCTGGTTAGTAGTCAGATTAGTGGTCACAAAGTAACATGTTAATGAACTCTTACGTGCCTCTACCATTACTTCTCACATATATCTCTCAAAACAGTTGCTTTTGGTGGAATTGTTGTAATAGGTGAGAGTGTAGGCTATCATACAACTACCTCTGTCTTTCTCTCCCTTCCTCCCTCTCTCTCCATCAGGTACGCTCCAGTGGGCATCCTGTTCCTGATAGCAGGTAAGATCGTGGAGATGAAGAATCTGGCCGAGGTGGGAGGTCAGCTGGGGATGTACACGGTGTCTGTCATCGTGGGTCTGCTCATCCACGGCTTGTTTGTCCTGCCCCTGCTCTACTTCCTGGTTACCAGGAAGAACCCCTACACCTTCATCGCTGGCCTGCTGCAGGCCCTCATCACAGCACTGGGAACATCCTCTAGGTGGGTGTATGAACTGACTCAGGGTCAGAGGTAGCTAATTCACTGCCCTGGGAACATCCTCTAGGTGGGTACATAAACTGATCTAGGTGGGTACATAAACTGATTTTGCAATTCCTCTAGTTGGATGTATGAACTCATGAACTGATTCAGGGTCAGGCTAATTCATTTCCCTGGGGCCATCCTCTAGTTGTTGTTTGGACTATTATGATCTCACAACATCTTCCATTATCTACCTCTACTGCCATAGCTCTGCCACCCTGCCCATCACCTTCCGCTGTCTGGAGGAGAACAACCGTGTGGACAAGAGAGTGACACGCTTCATCCTGCCCGTGGGTGCCACCATCAACATGGATGGCACTGCCCTCTACGAAGCCGTGGCAGCCATCTTCATCGCCCAGGTCAACGACATGGAACTCAACTTTGGCCAGATCCTCACCATCAGGTCAGTCTAAAGACACTATCTGATAAGCCACAATGCTATCAATGTGCTATAGAATGGAATAGAATAAAACTGTATTGTCCATCCAGGATGGACTTTTTTCTTTGGCATCACCTTACATTAAAAGGATCACACACACATACGTTCTCACATCACACACATTTAAAGTAGTCAGTCCATCATACTGCATACACTAAAAACATAGAGGACATTGATACGTACAATTTACGTTGCATTTAGTAGTCCAACATCACACTCAACGAATGAATGTTTGAACACGTTATTCTTGGCCATGGGCATTCTGAAGTGCCAGCCAGAGGGAAGCCTCTCGAACTGAGGGTGTAGAGGTTGGGAGGGGTCGCCAACGACAGACAGTGCCTTCCTTTAGCCTTATGGAACAGACTGCTCAAATGTGCCTGTGGTCGACCAGTTACTTTGCTGGCTGTGTTTACTGTTCTGGTTAGTTTGCTTTGGCTCCTCACGCTCAGATTGCCATACCAGACTGTCATATTGAACGTGAAGAAGCTCTCTACCAGACTGCTGTACACCCTCTCCAGAACATCCTGGCTGACCCCAAACCCCTTCAATTTCCTGATTAAAAACAGGCGCTGGCTTGCTTAAAAAAAAATACAGTCTGCATTCTCTGTAAAGCTCAACTTGTCATCAATTTGTGTCCCTAAATATTTGAAACACTCAACCACCTCCACTGGTTGGTCATTCAGAGAGAGTGGTTGGGACATTGGTAGGTTGTTGCCATTGATGATCAGCTCCTTTGTCTTGTCCACATTGATGTGGAGGGCACTTGACCGGCAGCATTATTGAAAGTTGTTGGCCTGTTTAAAATAGCTGTCCCCAGCTGACTTAGCATCTTTTTAAAATAGTCCCACCAGAGCCATGTCATCTGCATACTAGTGTAGATAGAGAACAACAACCGTGAAAGGACACATCCCTGGGGCGCCCCTGTGTTCAGGGCCAGTTCATCAGAGAGGGCCCCATTCATAAGAACCCTCTGTGGGTGGTCAGCTAAAAAGTCCTTGATCCAATCTGCAGGCCTCCGTTGCCCTTCAACTATCAGACCTATGAAGTCAAGTTCATTTGATCTAATCTTACTGTAAAATCATGGTAAAGGCTAAATCAGCTAATTTTATGTCCACATTAGTTGGAGGAGAGATAAGATTGATTTTGTGGTCTTTGCCGAACTCCTCCATGTTATTGGCTTTCTTCTATTGACTTCTCTACCCAAGACTACTCTACTGTGGAGTGTTGATTTATACATCTCTATATCCATATCACTCTCCACCGATTCCCTAATTCAATGTGTGTGTGTTTGCTTCTGTTATTAAATGGCGCTGTCGCCACCTCCTCCACAGTATCACAGCAACAGCTGCCAGCATCGGCGCAGCAGGCATCCCACAGGCTGGTCTGGTTACCATGGTGATCGTATTGACATCGGTGGGACTGCCCACAGAGGACATAACGCTGATCATCGCTGTGGATTGGTTCCTGTAAGTCTGCCTAAATGTCACTATGAGGCCGCCACCCCACTAGAACAGAGAACAGGTCCCTCTGAAAGGTTATTGATGCATTATGCACATCAGATTATTGTAATTAATTAAGTGTTTACAACCAGCCCTATCTAATGTTGTGCTGTGGTGTTGTATTGTGTTGTGTACACTTTCTTGCATGTCTCATAACTTGATTTACAAAAAATGGTTGGAAATCCTTTTTGAATACATTTAGGGTTGATTACTTGTGGGTGGATTACCCCAAAGACTGCCTTGTGTTTATGTGTGGCTACGCAGGGGTTGAGACCCTGAGGGAGCGTGTGTGTGAGTATGAATGCGTGTGTGCGTGCACGGTGTGTGTTTGTGTGTGCGCTATATAATGTGGGTGTATCTCTGCAGGGATCGCCTGAGGACCACTACCAACGTGCTGGGGGACTCTCTCGGGGCAGGCATCGTGGAGCACCTGTCTCGCCAGGAGTTGCAGAGCCAGGATGTTGAGATTGGAAACTCAGTGATTGAAGAGAATGAGAAGCCCTACCGGCTCATCTGCCAGGAAAACGACTCAGTGAAGCACCGCAACAGTGAGACCCCCATGTAGGGGTCAGGACAGTCTGAAAACAACCACTAGCCCATACTGTACTTCTTCAGCAATATGGGGAAAGCTATTGGATACCTAATCGGAGCCATCACCATATTGATAACACCTAACTGGTTAACTTCAGATCTACAAACACTGTAGGGATAGTGGCTAGAGATTGTTTTGACACTGTCAACCATATCACCAACTCTTTTGGTAATTTCAGTCCAAATCAGAGATGCATCTCAATTGTCTAGAGGACACTGATGTGAAAGAACTGGACAGGTGAAATCACATTTCTCGTAGATATCTAGCTACTATATTGCTTTCACTTATTTTATGTGTTCATATCAGTAGAGACCACTTTAGACTGTTATGTACTCTGTATCGGTTTGATTTTCATGAACAAGAAAGTAAATGCCATTCAATGGCCTTTTTAAATCTGTGAATAGATGGAAAATCCATTAGCTGGTTCTCTTGCATGGCTTGATTTGTATTTTATTGTTTTTTATTTTGCCACTTTTAGTTGGTGGTTGTTGTTTTTAATGTGAATCTACCTCTAAAATTCAAGTGTACATTATGCTTTCTCTTAAGTAATTTCATTTTCTGCCCCAAACATTACCAAGAGGTCATTTTATACCATATTATCCATGCTACCAACTTTGATAAGCAGTTTTTCTACAGTTTCAAAAACAAATATTGAATTTATGATGTAATGTACTGTAGTTTGCTTGATCTTTGTCAATTGAATCAATATGAATGTATACAGTATATATTTGTACCGATATCTGCAATCATGTTTTACACTTGGGTGATTTCTATGTTACTTATTGAGCTAAATTGGGGTTAGATTTTTTTTTTTTTTTCAAAACAATATTTGTAACAAAGATGTATTTTCAGTGTTAACTAGTGTTTCTTAACTGAACATATTTTGGTACTAGTCACTTAAGTCTGAAGTATGTGAAAGTATTACTGTATGCTTGCTCTGAATATTGATATTATTGGGGCTGTTGTATGTTTCTGTGCATAGTAAAGACGGACAAATATGGACAAAAGGATGTTACATAGCCTACTGAATTACATTATATGTTTTTCCCCCCCAATGTTACTATGGTTTGATATTTTAGGCCTTGAGTCCAGCCCTTTTTGTTTGAGTGTTGTGTTTTCAGACAATGCGAGGATGAATATCCATTTGGTCCATTTGTAGAATATGAGGGAGATCTTCATATATTTCTTGACTCACAACTAAAATGCTCACCAGAAATATTCCCTTTCCTTGATGCTGTAATCTTACATGGCCATTTCAGTTAAACATCCGGTGCTTTATCGATGAAAGCAATATTGCCAGTTGTGGTAGTGGTACATTTATGATGATGGCTTTTCTCTTTAATTTGACTGTTGAAAAAAGTTGAAAAATGTTATGATGCCTTAAACATAATTTGAAAGCAATTAAGTTGAATGTTAAGTGGAAAAGGTTTTGAAAGTATATAGGCCTACTGTGTACGTAGTTAAGTTTTTAAAACAATCTATTTTGAATGTGGTTGAGCACATATTGTTTTAATTTGTGCCTATTGTTTTATATATTAAATAGTTGATTAAAGTTTTTGTGAGATGGCTCAAATTTGCATTGCTTTTGGGAAGTGTCATTATCAGTATTTTGTTGCAACAAATAAATGTCTCAGGAATTGACAATTGTGTTATTCTAAGACACCAAGACTTTAACTGTAACACACATGTTCTTACACACAGGATCTGACCAAAGATGACCACAGACTCTGGCAACATGCCCTTGGGTTTAGAGACACAGACTGATCTGTCTAGAGGGGACTGGAACCAATAGTAGTAGTGTATACTCTGAAGGTTGCCTAGATAAGAAAGGGGAGGTTCTGGCTGTAGTTGAAGTGACTGTGAAATTGGAGGGCGACGCATGGAATCCAGATAGTCACCTAGGAGACGGACACTCACAGGGCAGAGATTTCTTAGGTTACGGGAAAATCATAGGGACAAATTAAAATGTTGCGGCCCACTCCCCTTTACACGCGTTCAGGGATCGCAACCCAGTGTCCACATGGATGGGGCCTTCCGATTCACACGGCCGCGTCCTTTTCGATCAGGTATTGAACTCAAACGACAGGGCTAGACCCCAGGCTCGGGGAGGGGGAGCAACATCTGGCAATAGTAAAGAGAAGCGGTTCCTCTGCATGTTCTGTAACAAAGGCTTCAACTGCCCCCAGAAGGTGGAGATCCACCAGAAGGTCCACACAGGGGTGAAACCCTTCAGATGTACCCAGTGTCACATGTGTTTTGCTGAGGCTGGCACCCTGAAGAGGCACCAGAGGGTCCACACAGGGGAGAACCCCTACAGCTGCCCCCAGTGTGAGAAGAGGTTCTCCCGTCAGCACCAGCTGAAGATGCACATGAAGGTCCACACGGGAGAAAGGCTGTTCGCCTGTACGCACTTCAGGAAGAGGTTCTCAGAGAGGAGATACCTCAGGATACACCAGCAGAAAAACCATTCTGCTCTATAAAATAGAAAGTAACCATTCCACTCGATAGCTTCTGACGTTGGTGTCAAACCCTGCATTAAAGGTAGACTCAGCGAGATTATGTACATGCACAAAGTAAACAGCAGTAGTTGGTCAATTTACGCAACAACTAAGAGCGTTGAAGTGCAAGGGCCAGACATTGTGGGATATATAAGGCATATATAAGCCTGACAAGCAGAAGCTGAGCTATAACCTTGTAAAGTCGAGGAGTCAAAGAAATTGGGCTTTGCTTGGGAAGTAATCTTATTCTCTTTTACAGAAAGTGAAATGATCAGTTGATAGCGAGAGTCACACATTGTATATGTATAATTAAATTGAGGGTTCATATAAATTATCATAATAAAACATTTTTGAAACGGAATAACATTTGGGGAAATTGGGCCTAGACTTTATTTTCCTATCCATTATTATTATAATTAAATGGCCTACCTAAAAGATGTAATGAGTGTTCAACCTTCCCAAGTTCTCTCATGTCACCCCGCTCCTCCGCACACTCAACTGGCTTCCAGTTGAAGCTCGCATCTACTACAAAACCATGGTGCTTGCCTACGGAGCTGTGAGGGGAACGGCACCTCCATACCTTCAGGCTCTTATCAGACCCTACACCCAAACGAGGGCACTACGTTCATCCACCTCTGGCCTGCTAGCTCCCCTACCTCTACGGAAGTACAGTTCCCGCTCAGCCCAGTCAAAGCTATTCACTGCTCTGGCACCCCAATGGTGGAACAAGCTCCCCCACGACGCCAGGACAGCGGAGTCACTGACCACCTTCCGGAGACACTTGAAACCCTACCTCTTTAAGGAATACCTGGAATAGTATAAAGTAATCCTTCTTCCCCCACCCCCCATTAAAAAAAGGTGGTTGTCCCACTGGCTATCATAAGTTGAATGCACCAATTTGTAAGTCGCTCTGGATAAGAGCGTCTGCTAAATGATGTAAATGTAATTCTCTAGACTGTGATAAATGTGGTTGAGAGAGAGAGATTCCCCAGGAGGTGGTGCCATCCTCCTGTTGTCTGGCTACCCCTGGTGGAGAAGCTCTTCTGTTTTCGGCCCTGAGTCTCCATGGATTCTTCCTCCCGACCAGTCTAAACTGCAGGACTGAACACCTGCATTACATTCCAGCTGGCTTCACACTTACAGTACTGCCTCTCATTGAATAAAGTCTCCCCATTGTTGGTCTAAACCTCTAGGTAGTGATATGGTGTCAAGCTGTCTTCACCTAAATTAATAAACTGTCAAACGGAGTGCCAGAGCAGCTTTGGGCATCTCAAACAGTGTTGAGCCAGAAGTGCAACGCTATGGGAAGCATTAATGACCTTTTGTCTGGGAGTGAAGGTGCTGGGCACCTCAACATCAAACAGTGTGCACCCACCCAGGGCCAGTAAACAGAAGCAGCGTGGGGTCTCAGCCAGAGAGGAACCAACAGCACCTTTGTGTGTTAAGCTACACACTGATTCTCTGGGCTGTTGAACTCAGTTTTGTTGCAAATTATTAATACAGCAGTTATTATGTTTGTTTTATAGCAGTAACTGTTACAACTGCACCTATAAGAGAAATCCTAGAGTAGCTACTTGAACCAATGAAATATAGAACCACACTAATACTTTCAGAGTAACCCACTGACATATTATAGATTGAGCCTAGGCTGCAATAAGACACAATAAGGAAGAAAATCGAATTCTTTCAGGTTCATTTATTTATAAAAGATCCACTTCAGATGTCGTGTTTAAACATACAGAGCCTTTTTCTACATGACATTGTTTCAGGCGAGAACAAGCCCTCTATGAAATTGAACAGGTATACATAGACGGTGAAGACCGGTTTCTTGGAATAGAGTAATCAGAAATACTTAGCAAATACTTTGGCATAGTTAGCGACAGTCAGTGTAAAATACATTTAGCTATATATCAAAACCTCTCATGGACTGTATGGCAGTGACAGCTCAGCCACCACACTCCCAGGCAGATAGACAGTGACACGAGACGACTGGAGAGTCAGCAAGCTTGGCTGAGTTAGGATGACAAGCCGCTGGAAGTTTACTTGGCCTGCAATGACAGGAGAGATAGTTTGGTTCAGTTCAGTAAATCTTTGTCCCCAAAGGGCAATTTAAGTGCACCATAAATGTCAGATACTTTAGGTCATAACAGAGACAATACAATATTGCTGGAGTAAAAGGATGAACAGATGTCACCTATGACAATAATTATCCTGTGGTAACAACCACCTCACACACATTCCACATGGAAGGCATCCCACCCATCCTTCTTGTCCTGATAGAGAAAAGAAAACTGTACAGCAGTGTATTCAAATGTGGAAAATCATTGTATATGGAGACATAATCAGGGGTAAAGTCTACGGCACACTTTTCAATAAAGCTAATATTTCCACTCGTTCTAATAAAGCCTTTTGGATGTACAGCCTGGATTCAATCACTCCCACCATAGGAATGTTTATGTAGTATCTTAACGTAGTATAACTGCAATGTGGGTTAGATTGAATTGAGCCCTATGTATAAACACGGTGCATATTTCCCACCTCCGACATGACTGGCAGGTTGCCATGAGGGTGGAGCCACATGATCCTATGTGCTTTGGTCCTCTGCCTCTGGAGCAGCTTCCTCAGTAACCTCTTGACCTTTCTGTCTCTGGGGTCAGCACACTTCACCACCTTCTTGGTGTACAGTCTGCATCCACAACACAACAGACAAAAGAACATTCACCACGCCAACTTTCTAACTGAAACATACAGTACAAACTGTAGATATGCAGCATGGTTTTAATAAAGCCTTCTCTGAACCAAAGCCTCAACAAAGTTGGCTAGCGAGGCATCTTTTATTTGGATGGCTTGTTATTCCCACTTATTTCCTTCCTCACTTCCATGGCAATTACAGTAGAATCTGAGCCATAACAACATGACCTGGATAGATGACAATGCCTCATAGCTCTGAGAGGCATATTTTCCATGTCTGCGAGTTGCTTCGGGATAGTTGGAATACTTGCATGATGGCTTTTATGCTGCAGTCTGGCCCCTCCGTCTGTACCTCAAACCTCAGCACGTCTTTGGTGCGAACTTTCCCCTGGGAGTACTGCATACAGCACTGAACATCTCTCTGCATCTGTACCCCCTTACCTGAGAGAGAAGGGGGGGGAAAGAGATGGAGAGAGGCAAACCCTTATGTCAAATTCGTCAAAGCACACTTACGGTATATGAAGGCTGATCGCTATTGGCTCATAAGGAGGGTTGTTATGATAGATTATGAGCTCAAATATATTAGTAGGAATGTAAGGCATTTCATTGCACTGTTCTATACAGTATAGTTGGACTATCAAAAGGTTAATATGTAATGGTTGCTCTTTTTGACAGGATATGTCATCTAGAGTGCAGATAGAGAGAGAGAGAGAGAGAGAGAGAGAGAGAGAGAGAGAGAGAGAGAGAGAGAGAGAGAGAGTCAGGAGGACTACACACCCCCTATACACACATGAATGCCAGGAGGATTTAGAACATCCCATGATCCCCCATAATGTGCTGTTATGCCAGTGGCACTGTGACTACATGACAAGGCTTTTCATCCAATCAGAGTGAGTAAGCACAATAACATTAGCTGAGATAAACAGTTACCATATTGCGTGTCATATGAAAGCTGCTCTGAACCTTGTCATATTTTATCATTGATATCATCTATCATTTTTCCCATTAAAGTCTGAGGTATTCAGTTAGTTTGTTATTAGCATTCTATATTTTGATGTGAAATCATTGTCTTCATTCTAGCTCTGTTTACATCCATGGCTCTCCTTGCTGCTGCTCCAGTATTCTCTTCCCCTCTAGCTTCATCTCCTTCGCCATCGCTTCCATGCTAAACTGGCTCCCAGCAGGGTGCATGCTGCTAACGGTATACACTGTAGGTGTTATTGTGTCTTACCTTCCACCGAGCCCAGGAGAATGACAGTCAGAGAAATAACAGTCACAGTCTGCAGCAGAAACATGGTGAGCCTGGCAGGGAAGTAATCTGCTGTGTTACCTTCCCCTCTATTTCTGTGTCGCTTATATTTCTCCCTCCCTCCTTTTCACTCTCTCCCTCAAACACACACACACATACACTCCCTAACCCTTCCCCCTCCATCTCCCCCTCTCCCCTACCTTCTCCTCTGAGTGCCCCACTCACTGTGTTCATTTTCATGTCTTTCCCACGCTTCAAAAGGTGCTTTCCCAAAAAAAGCTCTTCAAATAATCCATATTTATGGCATTCTCTAATGCGGTCATGGAAATTGCACTACCTTGTTGTAGGTGTGTCCCATTAGTCTTGCAGCTATGACCGTCACTGCTCAAGCACAATACAGGGAATACCACAAAGCTTGTGATACACTACAGTTTACATTTCAGTCATTTAGCAGACGCTCTTATCCAGAGCGACTTACAGTTAGTGAGTGCATACATTTTCATACTGGCCCCCCGTGGGAAACGAACCCACAACCCTGGCGTTGCAAGCGCCATGCTCTACCAACTGAGCTACAGGGGACTACATAAGACAAATGACACTGTCCTGTAATACATCCATGTAAAGGACAATGGCATCTCTAGTACCAACATGGTTCAAAGCACAAGCAAGTTTCATGCAGTCTGTTTCCAAAACCAACCACCACTAAAATATGCTAGAAGGCTTTAGCCTATCTGTGGTTCAAGCATCAACAATTAAACATTCAAGACAACCAATAGCAGCAGGATGTGATTACCAGTAAAAATCAAAAGTATTGAGTGTGTCTGCTCCTGTATGGTATTCATTTAAACTAAGTTGTGCTGAAATATGTTTAAAAAGGCAGATGCCAGTAGTCATGCACTATAAAAACGGCAACCAGCTCTCTACCATTAGATAGATCAGAAGAAATGATAACATTTTGAAAACAGAAGCCGATTTGCCAAACTAAAGTACAGCTGTACATGTTCAATACAGTATGGACTGTGACTTTGTATAGCAGCTACATTCTAACAATAATTCTCAGTACAACACCTAACAACCTTGTCAAGAGGTTTGGACCTCTATTGGTGTAATGGCAAAGGTCTTGGACTGACAAATGCAAGTCCCAGACGGCTACCCCATAAATTTGCAACATTGTGTGTCAGAAGTGGGATGCATGGGGCTAAGCACGAGGGCATCCAAAGTGTAGGAGTAGTTTGTAAGTGTGTTACTTACTTGCCTTTAGGAACAGTGTCTGACAAGCCCCCAAATTCAGTACTATAACTAAATACAAAATGTCAAATATAAAATGGCCTATGTAATTAGAGGAAACGGATACAAAGTCAACGCTGGTTGGCAGTTGAAGATTGACTGACCCTGAGAGGTGGTTTTGGGTAGAGACCATTTGTTTTGGCAGGTTGGGTGTCATTAGAACCCAGCTGATGCTCCCCCACTGTCTCAAAAAACACCCTTCTAACCAAGCAATGAAACTATTGCAGAATTACAGCACACTCTAATGCCTTTGGTATTCAATGAAATAAACATGGTTGGAAAAAAAAGTAATGCTATAAAAATGTGTTACATAAAAACAATTTAAAAAAACTAAAACTGCACAAATGAAATGTAACCCTCGTCTGAAAAATAATGGACAGGAAAACCCAAATAACCTTGTATTTAATGACGAGACAGACTACCCGTTGTTTAATGTACCTTAGAATAAATGCTTCCAGTGACAAGGAAGTGTTTAGCTTTTAACTATTGTTGAGAAGAGTCACTTCACCATATCTTGTTTGTATTTTACAGCAGTATCTACTGTAAAGTTATTGCTCTATGTAATTATGTTGTAGTACAATGGAATAACACACCTGGAGAGAGTTGCAACTTCCATGAACAGACAATGTGGTAAAACACACGGTAAATTAATACAGGGTAAATGATGCTTTAAATCTCTGCTGAATGGTAGGCTTTAGGTAGAGGCATTTATTAGACGACAAGGCCAGTGTAATCCATACTATCTGACTGTGCATACCTGAGCCCTGGAATTAAAAATATGCAGTCTGTGAGGTGAGGGCAGCGTGCAAGAATTCAACCCTTAAGAAATCAAGTTGGAATCTTTCAGCTGCAAAAACATACCTTCCCCATGACTTCAGTCTTGAGCCAAACATTTCCTGCATATCTTTGGGGCGATTAAGAGATCACTGTAAAAGTATCCTAGACACAAACTTTCAAACAAAAGGTTGAAAATAAAAAAAACTAGTGACTGTAAATCCACTTATTAAATCATAGACTAAACCGGTGTTCCTCTTTGAGGAGGTAGAGAGCCGGAGGGGGGGATAGGTATGTCTTGGAGATGTTGTAGGGAAAAGCTAACTATACCTGTGGTCTAGGCCAGGGCAGCATAGCCCAAAGGGATTTCAGTGTTAGGTTAGGTTTCAGGGAGCAAATATGTCAAATTTTGAGATGTATAATTTATCAAGCACATAACATTTGGTATGGACTGTCTGGAATGCTACAAGTGGATGGCTGATTATAGCCATCTTAGGACATTGTCTACACTACAACTTCATGAAGATTGAAGTGATCACTTTTATGCCCTAAATTTACAGGTGTTCCCCAGTTCATTGTTCATGCTCTGTTCTTGTAAAAAGCATGAGTTGACACACACCCAAAAAGTTGGAGGTGCCGACTAATGAAATAGTAACCTTATAAAAAATAAACAAAATGTTTAAGTTGTACATTCTATATACTCCCAATAATTGAATGGGTATAAAAAACAAAACTTCTTCAGGGGTACATAATGATTGCTTGAATGTTCTGATCTTGACAAAAGGCTTGGTGGAACTATACTTACATGAGAGATCCCTAATAGAATGTCTTTATTTAGTGTCAAAATAAAATTAAGTCCATCCATGCAACATGTAGTGATTATATTTTATATTAGGGTTTTTTCTGCATAGAAAAGTATTGGGCAGTCCGAAAACTGCCCATGTCCAAACAGTAAAAAAATAAACAAAAACATAAATCAGGGTTGAAAAACGTTCAGTGTATACATAAGTGGCAATATGTAGATTTCTGGGCGACGCAACCAATTTCACATAGAAATGTGAGTTATAGATCTATAATTCTACTTGAAAGCAATTCTAACATTTTACATTTTAGTCATTTAGCAGACGCTCTTATCCAGAGCGACTTACAGTTATTGAATACATATATATTTTTTCATACTGGTCCCCCGTGGGAATCGAACCCACAACCCTGGCGTTGCAAACGCCATGCTCTATCAACTGAGCTACATCCCTGCCGGCCATTCCCTCCCCTACCCTGGACAACGCTAGGCCAATTGTGCGCTGCCCATGAGTCTCCCGGTCGCGGCCGGCTGCGACAGAGCCTGGATTCGAACCAGGATCTCTAGTGGCACAGCTAGCACTGTGATGCAGTGCCTTAGACCACTGCGCCACTCAGGAGGTAGATCTGTTCTACATGCACTATTTCTATGCTTCCTGTTCTTAAGTTTTGTTTTATCATAGCATAAACCACGGCAAAATGTGTATAATTGCAGGAGATTAGCTTTAAAACTGCAACATTTTATCTCAGACACATGGCGATATGTGTAGAATTGCAGGAAATTAGCTTCAAACAGCTAAAGTTTGTCACTGCAGCCAATGGGGGGGGCTCTAAAATGTTTGGTCGGTGACCGTATCATTTGCCACGCCCTCACTACACCCACCACCTAAGCTCCATATTCATCAAGAAAAAACCCTGGCATGTTCTATGCTGCCTGGCATTCTTCTGGTGGGAGTAGACAGGAACTCTTTGCAGGCAGTCCTCAAGCTAACATCTGTGGTTCACACAGCTTTGTTTCTTTATATACTGTAAAACTAAACCAGAATGTGTTTGGTTAAACATACAAGAGGAATTATTTAAAAATCATTGCAAAACATGTGCTTAGAGTGGGGAAACTGAACACTTTCTGAAATGGGTGTTTTATTTTTAATTTATGGGAAATGGATGTGTTTAACAAAAGCTGCAAAAGAAAAACAAAATTGTATCTTCTCGAATGACAGGTGTAGGATCTTAAATTTGACCTATAGTCACAGCAACATAATCCTGCAGCAACAGGATTTGAACGTTTAGTCCATAATGTTGCTTGATTGGTCGTTAGGCTATTAGCTGGCCGAAAGTAAGCTACATGAAAATGCAATGTTAATATAACCATGCGTTAGTATGGGTTTTCAGTGAATTTATGTAAATCATGAAGCTCCTCTGCATTTGTTGCAGTGCAGGGAAATTCTCAGCAACAAAAGTGAGCAAATTAAGATCCTACATCTGTAGATAATTCTAATAAATAATCCCCCAAAATTGACTGGTGCCAAAAGGTGCTAGGAAATAGATTACAATGACAATGCCTGAATTTCGCAGAAATACTGAAAAGTTACCAAGGGATGAGTTACATCTATCAGATTTGATATATGGTTGATGAAAATAGCTAGCAATAAGTAGATGGGTCAACATAAAAAAAGTGGGAATTATATATATATATATATATATATACAGTGGGGAGAACAAGTATTTGATACACTGCCGATTTTGCAGGTTTTCCTACTTACAAAGCATGTAGAGGTCTGTAATTTTTATCATAGGTACACTTCAACTGTGAGAGACGGAATCTAAAATAAAATATCCAGAAAATCACATTGTATGATTTTTAAGTAATTCATTTGCATGTTATTGCATGACATAAGTATTTGATACATCAGAAAAGCAGAACTTAATATTTGGTACAGAAACCTTTGTTTGCAATTACAGAGATCATACGTTTCCTGTAGGTCTTGACCAGGTTTGCACACACTGCAGCAGGGATTTTGGCCCACTCCTCCATACAGACCTTCTCCAGATCCTTCAGGTTTCGGGGCTGTCGCTGGGCAATACAGACTTTCAGCTCCCTCCAAAGATTTTCTATTGGGTTCAGGTCTGGAGACTGGCTAGGCCACTCCAGGACCTTGAGATGCTTCTTACGGAGCCACTCCTTAGTTGCCCTGGCTGTGTGTTTCGGGTCGTTGTCATGCTGGAAGACCCAGCCACGACCCATCTTCAATGCTCTTACTGAGGGAAGGAGGTTGTTGGCCAAGATCTCGCGATACATGGCCCCATCCATCCTCCCCTCAATACGGTGCAGTCGTCCTGTCCCCTTTGCAGAAAAGCATCCCCAAAGAATGATGTTTCCACCTCCATGCTTCACGGTTGGGATGGTGTTCTTGGGGTTGTACTCATCCTTCTTCTTCCTCCAAACACGGCGAGTGGAGTTTAGACCAAAAAGCTCAATTTTTGTCTCATCAGACCACATTACCTTCTCCCATTCCTCCTCTGGATCATCCAGATGGTCATTGGCAAACTTCAGATGGCCTGGACATGCGCTGGCTTGAGCAGGGGGACCTTGCGTGCGCTGCAGGATTTTAATCCATGACCGCGTAGTGTGTTACTAATGGTTTTCTTTGAGACTGTGGTCCCAGCTCTCTTCAGGTCATTGACCAGGTCCTGCCGTGTAGTTCTGGGCTGATCCCTCACCTTCCTCATGATCATTGATGCCCCACGAGGTGAGATCTTGCATGGAGCCCCAGACCGAGGGTGATTGACCGTCATCTTGAACTTCTTCCATTTTCTAATAATTGCGCCAACAGTTGTTGCCTTCTCACCAAGCTGCTTGCCTATTGTCCTGTAGCCCATTCCAGCCTTGTGCAGGTCTACAATTTTATCCCTGATGTCCTTACACAGCTCTCTGGTCTTGGCCATTATGGAGAGGTTGGAGTCTGTTTGATTGAGTGTGTGGACAGGTGTCTTTTATACAGGTAACGAGTTCAAACAGGTGCAGTTAATACAGGTAATGAGTGGAGAACAGGAGGGCTTCTTAAAGAAAAACTGTGAGAGCCGGAATTCTTACTGGTTGGTAGGTGATCAAATACTTGTGTCATGCAATAAAATGCAAATTAATTACTTAAAAATCATACAATGCGATTTTCTGGATTCTTGTTTTAGATTCCGTCTCTCACAGTTGAAGTGTACATATGATAAAAATTACAGACCTCTACATGCTTTGTAAGTAGGAAAACCTGCAAAATCTGCAGTGTATCAAATACTTGTTCTCCCCACTGTATATATATTGTTCTGCAGCAGTATGATGTGGGGTGGGGTGGGTTAAAAATGCACTCAACCCATTCTTCTGTTGATACACTAAAGCTGAATCTCTTCAGGAATGCACAAGGAGCACATACAATTTTTAGTCCAGCCTTGATTTCCTCCAGATAAATTTAATTTGCCATAGCAGCAGACCACCTGCACAGCCACTTTGCCCAGCATGTGTGTCTGTCCTGGCGTGAGCCATTCTAATATTAAAGATAAGCTCATATTATGCTTTTTTGATTATGGACCTGCAGCTCAAGTCCCTTTCTCTGGGCTGATGTTTTATAGAAACAGCAAAACAAACTGGATATAATGGTATATCTAAATATAGTCTCTAAGCTACGTGCCTCCAGACAGAGAAATAGACATTTGGAAAGAATATGCCCAACGTCTTTACCCTTAGTCCGCAAAAGATTGATCTGGTAATTTGCTATACCCCCTGTAAAGCATTGTCTACTAGAGGTTTTACATTACTTTGGGTGGATAGATTCTAATGTCTAATGTCCTTTTTATTAAAATGTAAAGTCTATATTTTCCTCACAATGGAAAATGAGTAGTTGTTGCCTAAACAGCTGGACACTATGGTATACTAATAAGGATGGATTTATTTCTGATGCATATAAAAAATAAAAATAAATCCTAATAAAGCTATTTTAAAAAATTAAAACTACAAATTAGGTTTATACACCGATTTATTTCAACATAATCTCACATTATTTACAAATAAAAAATTGCAGACCAGACCAACTGAGGGAGGATCATCACGGATGTCTTCACAGTTTATACATGTTCAGAAAGGGAATTCCTTGTGACCAGCACCAAAACCTTCTCAAATGTTTCATTTCCAACTCAGTGATATCACTTCAAAAGTAAGACAGGTCAGTCTGTTTTCCAAATGCCTCTGATCCTTGAACGGCCTGCTGTCTCCTGAGTGTCTAGGCGTCTAGAGTGCCTTTGAAAGAGAACATAGACAAAGACAATCTTGTCAAACCTATTACACAAACCTGATTCACTATAGCCAATGACTCAGAATAATACATCACAGCGGGATCATTCAATAAAAAAAAAAACGATTATCAATCTGACGAAGAATAAAATATGCTAGAGGTTTAGCGAAGATGGATGCTTGGAAGAGAACTTACCTTCCAGAAAGGCAAACTCATCTACGGCCTCTATTGCATTATCTGTTAGACAGTGGAAACAACAAAAACACAATAGTTGGAAGAACTAAAGTCAAAGGCTAGCCTAAATGACCACCGATCCTGGTCCTGTAGAGCTACATGGTGTACAGGCTTTTGTTCTACCTCCGCACTAAGACCTTGATCAGTTGAATCAGTTAGGCCTAACACGCGTTTAGTACTGGGATGGAACTAAAGCCTGGCATACCATGTGGCTCTCCAAAACCAGGGGTTGATGATTATTGCTTAGTGTTATGGTCACATGGTATGATTAATGTTTGGTGTACTATATGATAATGTCTGCTTGACATTACTAACCTAAATCTTTCCTCTGCAAAGTTTTCCTCTTTCCTTGCTGGGCGTACACCAGGGCATCTTTGGCAATCATCTCAACAAAGAGTTCCTGGAACACATGAAGTTTAGTATACAGTCAGTAACGTCGCTGTAACAGATAACATAAGTACATTGTGACTATAGTAAAGTGATTGTCATCCTAGGTAGCTAAGCTAGATATTGCCTTTACAGCAATGATGTGTTGGTGCTGGGTTGGAACAAAAGCCTGGACACCAAGTAGCTCAACAGTTGATGACCAGTGAACTGCAAGGAACATAAAATAGGTCCTTCCTACAATCCTCCCCTCCACGACTTTACTCTGTATCTGGAATAGAGTGCCACAGTATGAGTCATAATACCTATGAAACCTAGCAGTCAAACAGGGAAATGGTTCCTATAGTTTTTCCACATTGGGGAATTTAGAAACACTTGCAATAAGGGCTGTGTTTTCTTTAGGCTTAACCTGGCATGACATTTTGATAACCGGCATCAACTGTTGCAGTGCCTGTTGCCCCCACAGAGTCGGACCCAGAGTGGTGTGAAGGTGAGGAAGAGTTACGGGGGAACGAGGCTGAAGAAGAGAACAACCAACAAACTGGACTCGTTGCAGCAACCTACTTATTTTAAGCGTTTCCAAAATCCCCTATGGGAAAAATGAACGGTAGAAAAACGATTGGAACCATTTCCCTGTTTGACCGCTAGGTTTTAATGACACTTCCACTGTTGGGCTCTATAGCCTAGCCGTTTAGAGCGTTGCTGATTCAAATCCCAAAGCCGACTAGGTGAAAAATCAGTCAATGTGCCTTTGAGCAAGGCACTTAAACCTAATTGTTCCGGATAAGCGCGTCTGCTAAATGACTAAAACGTAAGAAATGCTGCTAGGGGTAACTACTTCATGTAATAGTTTTAACTTACTGTGGCTTTAGCAATGATAAACACAGACTCTTGACTGGCGAGGGACACGTCTGGGTCAGCTTTCATCATTGCCTTGATTCGGGATAGCGGTAACTTCACTAGACGGTTCTGGGAGGGTGCTGCAATGGGCCCAGTTTGTAGGTTGTTCTCTTCTTCAGCCTCGTTCCCCCGTAACTCTTCCTCGCCTTCACACCGCTCTGAGTCCGACTCCGTAGGGGCGACAGGCACTGCAACAGTTGACGCCATTATCTTGTACACAAACGAGTTGTCAAAATACGTAGCTAGTTCTGATTTGTGAATAACACATTCGAATGTTCCTCCCCTTCCACTCCCGCCAACTATTCATTGTGTGTGATTGGTGGAATGGCCGACTTCATGAGGTGAGGATTGGCTTGTACCAAAGCCAAACAAATCTTTGGTTTAAGCCCTGGGTGAATGTTCACAACTCCTTAGTGCTCTTAAACGTTGTGAAATTGTTAGATATTACGTGTTAGATATTACTGCACTGTCGGAGCTAGAAGCACAATAATTTCGCTACACCCGCAATAACATCTGCTAAACACGTGTATTTCATTTGATTTGAAACATTGACTACAGAATGGCCAGGCTGCTAAAAAGAAGATTTGACAGATCATGACCCTAATGAACAACTTCATCATATTTGTTACATAAAATTGACATCTCCATCTCTCTATTGCTGTTCATCCAATACATTAGAAATGTGTTCAATTATTCATTGTTTGTAGATAGATCTGTGATACATATTGAATTTGATAGGCCCCCCTTTCAATAATGCTAAATGTTTATGTGATAATAGGCCTAGATTAGATTTATGTGAAATAGCTGTTAGTGCTGCTTTGTCTATGTAGGTCTCTAAGTAAGCAATAAGGCCCGAGGGAGTATGGTATATGTCCAATATACACTATATATGCAAAAGTATGTGAACACCCCTTCAAATTAGTGGATTTGGCTATTTCAGCCACACCTGTTGCTGACAGGTGTATAAAATCGAGCACACAGCCATGCAATCTCCATAGACAAACATTGGCAATAGAATGGCCTTACTGAAGAGCTCAGTGACTTTCAACGTGGCACCGTCATAGGATGCCACCTTTCCAAAAAGTCAGTTTGTCAAATTTCTGCCCTGCTAGAGCTGCCCGAAACAACCGTAAGTGCTGTTATTATGAAGTGGAAACATCTAGGAGCAACAAAGGCTCAGCCGTGAAGTGGTAGGCAACACAAGCTCACAGAACAGGACCGCTGAAGTGCGTAACGCGTAAAAATCGTCTGTCCTTGGTTGCAACACTCACTACCAAGTTCCAAACTGCCTCTGGAAGCAACGTCAGCACAATAACTGTTTGTCGGAGCTTCATGAAATAGGTTTCCATGGCCGAGCAGCCGCACACAAGCCTAAGATCACCATGCGCAATGCCAAGTGTCAGCTGGAGTGGTGTAAAGCTTGCCGCCATTGGACTCTGGAGCAGTGGAAACGCGTTCTCTGTAGTGATGAATCACGCTTCACCATCTGGCAGTCCGATGGACGAATCTGGATTTGGCGGCGAATGCCAGGAGAACGCTACCTGCCCCAATGCATAGTGCCAACTGTAAAGTTTTCTGGAGGAGGAATAATGGTCTGGGGCAGTTTTTCATGGATCGGGCTAGGCCCTTTAGTTCCAGTGAAGGGAAATCTTAATTCTACAGCATACAATGACATTCTAGACGATTCTGTGCTTCCAACTTTGTGGCAACAGTTTGGGCAAGGCCCTTTCCTGTTTCAGCATGACAATGCCTCCATGCACAAAGCGAGGTCCATACAGAAATGGTTTGTCGAGATCGGTGTGGAAGAACTTGACTGGCCTGCACAGAGCCCTGACCTCAACCCCATCGAACACCTTGGGATGAATTGGAATGCCGACTGTGAGCCAGGCCTAATCGCCCAACATCAGTGCCCGACCTCACTAATGCTCTTGTGGCTGAATGGAAGCAAGTCCCCGTAGCAATGTTCCAACATCTAGTGGAAAGCCTTCCCAGAAGAGTCGAGGCTGTTATAGCAGCAAAGTGGGGACCAACTCCATATTAATGCCCATGGTTTTTGGAATGAGATGTTCGACGAGCAGGTGTCCACATACCTTTGGTCATGTAGTGTACCTCGGCTAAGGTCTGTTTTTATGTACGAGGCACCGCGGAGTGCCTGTATACAGTCCTTAGCCGTGGTATATTGGCCATATACCACAACCCCCCGAGGTGCCTTATTGCTATTATAAACTGGTTACCAGCGTAATTAGAGCAGTAAAAATATAAGTTTTTTCATACCCGTGGTATACGGGACGTACCACGGCTGTCAGCCAATCAGCATTTAGGGCTCGAACCACCCAGTTTATAATGGGTATTAATACATGGTGCTAATAGGATTGGTAGGGTGATGCCCTGAGGTTTAGTGATGGTGAGCCACTCCATTCACACACAATCTATCTATCAGTCTCTACTGCTGGGCTTGAAGGAAAGAGATGAAGGATCGGCAACTACCAGGTTATATTTCAAAGTATTATTTTGTGAGTAGTTATGTGCAAAATAGCATATACAATGATTTTACTTTTTTGCTATTTTGTTCATTTTAGATGCAAATGTGTTCATTACTCCAATCTTGGTTGACTGATATAGTCTTATTGCCTCTCATGTATAGTCACATGTAGTCTGCTTAGTCAGACCTTTAATTTGGTCCCAACAAACTCAGATAAAATACATAACATTTTCTATCAGATCAATGGGACATTTATTGTATTCAGTAAAAAAAATGTGTTGCAATTTATATAAGGCATTATGAAATTGTGTATTTTCTTCACGGCAATAGTAGAATATATGGAACATTGTTTTTTCAAACAAATGATCACAAATGGTGGTTTTAGCTTGGAAGTCTGTGTCCACCTCATTGCTTTTTACTTCGGAACTCCTGTAATACATAAATTTCTGAATCAAGATACTGTATGTAAGGCAACTGCAAGCACAAAACAGACAGCTAGGGAAAAAATGATGGGATGCATTTGATATGTGTCTGTTTACAAGCATTACAGGTTACAGAGAACCTCTAAGGAATTGCATTGCATCTGAAAATAAGTATTATCACCTTAAAGTTCAGGATCACTGATCCTGCTACAACCGATTATTGTGTTGTATAACAATTAAACCAGAGAGCTCATTGTCTCATAACAAGAGAGTCCACAACCCCCTATACTGAATGTAATCTATTGCATTTTCAGTTGTATTTTATAGAACACCGTGACCAGAACTAACTTCCTAAACTGAGCTCTGTCTAAAAGCAGGTTTCTAATCCTGACCTGTATTGGGAGTATTTCCAACGGAGCAACGTCTTTGATCTGTCAGCATCCATTAAATACAAACCAGATTGAGAGCACAGAACTGCAAGGATTACAAATAAATAGAGATGACCTCAAGATAAATGTATAAGTGAATACACTTCTCACTTTTAAAAATGATTCTGTGCTCTGAAACCTGATGTACTTATTGACATACAAGTCTTCAGTCTATTGCCTGAAGTCTACATTGGTTTATACATTAGATTTTAGATTTTAGTCATTTAGCAGACGCTCTTATCCAGAGCGACTTACAGTTAGTGAGTGCATACATATCTTTCCCATACATTACCGAACAATGGGATGCACTTCCATCATATATTTTATCATTTAATTTCCGTATTCATGCTCTTACCAAACCAATGTACTGGGATGGCATGGATATCAAATTACCATGAAAATACTTAAATGCTCAAACATAGGCTATTCATTTATTTTTATTCGGTTTATGCCTCATTTTTGCAAAGCAGTGTTTGAATTATATTGTAAAAGATAGAACACTATAATGGCCTACCCAAGGCTTCCTAATTGAGGGATAGGCCAGAAATTAGATGCTCTCCTCTGACCTCATTGGACCAGGGCCTCATTAGCTAATCCTGCACATGATAGCAGAGGTGCTGCCAGCCTAATATACACTGTGTACAAAACATTAAGAACACTTTCCTAATATTGAGTTGAATCCCCCCATTTTGTCCTCAGAACAGCCTCAATTCGTCGGGGCATGGACTCTACAAGATGTTGAAAGCGTTCCACAGGGATGCTGGCCCATGTTGACTCCAATGCTTTCCACAGTTGTGTCAAGTTGGCTGGATGTCCTTTGGGTGATGGACCATTCTTGATACTCATGGGAAACTGTTGAGCGTGAAAAACCCAGCAGCATTGCAGTTCTTGACACAAACCGGCGCGCCTGACACCTACTACCATACCCCGTTCAAAGGTACTTAAATATTCTGTGTTGCCCATTCACCATCTAAATGGCACACATACACAATCAATGTCTCAACTGTCTCAAGGCTTAAAAATCCTTCTTTAACCTGTCTCCTCCCCTTCATCTACACTTATTAGGCCATAATATATGTATTTCACATGACTGGGAATATAGATATGCATCTGTTGGTCACAGATATATTTTTTTAAAAGGTAGGGGCGTGGATCAGAAAACCAGTCAGTATCTGGTATGACCACCATTTGCCTCATGCAACGCATCTCCTTCGCATAGAGTTGATCAGGCATTTGATTGCGGCCTGTGGAATGTTGTCCCACTCCTCTTCAATGGCTGTGCGAAGTTGCTGGATATTGAACTCGCTGTCGTACATGTCGATCCAGAGCATCCCAAACATGCTCAATGGGTGACGTCTGGTGAGAATGCAGGCCATGGAAGAACTGAGACATTTTCAGCTTCCAGGAATTGTGTACAGATCCTTGTGACATGGGGCCGTGCATTATCATGTTGAAACATGAGGAATGGCAGATGAAGGGCATGACAATGAGCCTCAGGATCTCGTCATGGTATCTCTGTGCATTCAAATTGCCATAAATAAAATGCAATTGTGTTAATTGTCCGTAGCTTATGCCTGCCCATACCATAACCCCACCGCCACCATGGGGCACTCTGTTCACAACGTTGACGTCAGCAAACCGCTCGCCCACACGACGCCATACATGTGGTCTGCAGTTGTGAGGCTTGTTGGATGTATTGCCAAATTCTCTAAAACAACGTTGGAGGCGGATTATGGTAAAGAAATTAACACTCAATTCTCTGGCAACAGCTCTGGTGGACATTCTTGCAGTCAGCATGCCAATTGCACGCTCCTTCAAAACTTGAGACATCTGTGGCATTGTGTTGTGTGACAAAACTGCATATTTTAGAGTGTCCCTTTATTGTCCCCAGCACAAGGTGCACTTGTGTAATGATCATGCTGTGTAATCAGCTTCTTGATATGCCACACCTGTCAAGTGGAAGGATTATCTTGGCAAAGGAGAAATGCTCACTAACAGGGATGTAAATAAAAATGTGTGCACAAAATTTGAGAGAAATAAGCTTCTTGTGCGAATGGAACATTTCTGGGATCCTTTATTTCAGCTCATGAAACATGGGACCAACACTTTACATGTTGTATTTTTGTTCAGTGTATGTGAATAGTACAGTTAACTGGAGATTCCATAGAAAATGGCAACCAGGTTGAAATTGATTAACAATATACTTCTATTGCCCTAGTCCCTGCTATTGAACACAGTGAATCTCATCCAAATAAAAATCTCACCTCTAATTCTAATAATGTTTTCCCCTTTGCGCCTTTAGGACTCAAATCCAGACTAGCCCGAAATGCAAGGACAAGGAGGATAAGAAAGCCAAGACAAGTGAGACGAGTGAAACAGCAGTGGACAAATTACCCAAAGTCCTTCCAGCCCGCATTATACTAGAACTGACCCCAGAACAGAGGATGAGGCAGACACCGTTTGAGAGGATGCTTTATGATATGAACCATGACCAGAGGGTGGTCAACGACCTTATACTGGGCCGAAGGATCTCCTTCTACGAACTCAGGGGGGAAATAGGGTGCGGCAACTTCTCCAATGTTAGATTGGGGATTCATGCCCTGACTAAAGGTAAGGAGGGCTACCGTTTATTAGTTCGTCATCCTTTCAATAGTTAGTTAAATAGTTATTTGGTTCATTCATTGAGCAGTTTACTGTCCCTCATCTTCTCCCCTTAGTCTACAACTGATACCACTTTGGAAAATGTAACAAAATGGACATTACAGTTCCTACTCAATGGTTGGGGCCTGGCAGTATAAAGATATAGCTCACTAACACATTCCAACTGACCGGTTCCCTCTGAGCTGACCCTGTCAGTGATTTTTCTGCATAGAAAAGACTTGGGCGGGCCGCCTAAGTGTTTTTTCGGACCGCCTATTGTATGTCCAAACAGTTTTCGTTAGGATGGAAAAACATTTTCAGTGTAAACTTAAATGACTTAAACCAGATTTAAAGTATGTAGAAAAGATAATGGACCTATATATTTTTTTATAAGATCATCTTTGAGAACTAACAATCCCCATAAATAAAAGCTAGACAGTCAGGGAGAATCAGAAATTCTAAACATTATGCATTCAGGAGTATTGTTTTCATGGCATGGCCCCCCTTGATTTTGTTATAATGTTTGAGTCACTCAGATAGCATGAGCCATGGCAAAACTTGTAGAATTGCAGGAAATTAGCTTTAAAACAGCAAAACGTTGGAGGGCCTCTAAAATGTTTGGTTGGCGACCGCACCATTGGCCACGCCCATGGCCACGCCCCCGCCACACCCACCACCTAAACCCTATTTTGATCCTGCCTCCCCTGACTGCGATACAGATTCTGTATACAGGGGGGGTATTATAACAGGATGAATACAGATGCCAGAAGACAACGGGTGGTCGCCTGAACTAAGCACCTCCTGATCGCTTCAGATCCCCCCTCACCCCCTGTCGTGAATTCATGTCCTGTTTTATACATCTCTCTTTAATTTATGTAACATACAGCTAGAGATGCCTACAGAGAAATACCACAGGAGCGATGGGGAGATGGAGGGTGAAGAGAAAGGGGGGGATGGGGGGGGTGGTCTTCATTTACCTTCACATTCTCCTCTCAGTCACATTTTTCACTAGACCTAATATAAGACCTGGTGAAGCTTCAAATGAAATTACACCAGTTGCCATGTCTGATCATCCTTACTGCTCTGCTCTCCTCTCATTCTGTATTGGTTTCTCTTTTTTCGTATCTCTCTATTTCTGCCTCTCTCTCTCTCTCAGAGAGGGTTGCCATCAAGATTCTGGATAAGCTTCGGCTGGACAAGAAGTCTCAGTCCCTGTTTGCCACAGAGATCAGCTGTATGGAGAAGCTGTCCCACCCTAACATTGTCCGTCTCTATGAGGTGATAGAGACCACCAAGTGCCTGCACCTGGTGATGGAGTACGGTAGTGGAGGGGATCTCTACTCACGTATCGCCAACAGGGGCCGTTTGTCTGACCTGGAGACCAAGCTCATCTTTGCCCAAATCATCTCAGCCATCAAACACATGGTGAGCTATACCCATTGAAAGCATTGAACAGTAGACACTCACAGATGTCAATTCCACTCCATGATTAGGGCTGCTTCCTAACTTGAGGATTGGGTGGGTAACTTTCACATAAATTATGCATTGATGTCTACGGTCAGGATTTACCAGCATGTATCCAATTATTTTACTCTTGCTTGCTTGATTTAGAGAGGGAAAGGGAAAGGGGTTACCTAGTCAGTTGCACAACTGAATGCATTCAACCAAAATGTGTCTTCCGCATTTAACCCAACCCCTCTGAATCATCGTAATTTTGTAACAACATCCAACCAACACACACTCACCCCAACCCTTTTTCTTATCATTCCAGCACGACAACAACATTGTCCACCGAGACATGAAAGCAGAGAACGTCTTCTACACCACCAGCTATTGCATCAAGGTGGGAGACCTTGGCTTCAGCACAGTGACTGGTCCAACCGAAGTCCTCACCACGTTCTGTGGCTCCCCGCCCTACGCCGCTCCAGAGCTCTTCAAAGAGAAAGGCTACGTGGGTCGTTACGTGGACATCTGGGCCTTGGGCATCCTCCTCTACTTCATGGTCACCGCTACCATGCCTTTCCACGCCGACAACCTGGTGCAGCTGAAGCGTTGCATCATACAGGGAGCCTACGCCTTCCCAGGCTACGTACCCAACCCCTGCCAGCAGGCCATAAAGGGCATGCTGAGACCCGTGCCCGCTAACCGCGACTCCATCTCCCAGATCATGACCAGCACGTGGCTGAAGAGCATCGAGTACCCCCAGGCATACGCCACCCTGCCCCAGACACCCTTCTACCTGGCGGAGACCTCCCAGGTCCTGTGTGTGGAGGAGCAGGAGGTGAAGTCGGCCCTTTCTGACCTGGGCATCATGGTAGTCCATCTGCAGAGCCACACCTGTACAGACAATTGCAGCCCCCTGACGGGGACTTACCGTATCCTCCTCCACCGCGTCCAGAAGAGGAGGTCCATGGAGGCGGTGGGATATGCAGCCCTCTATCCTGAGGACTTTGGCACTAACAAGAGATGGACGCCCACTGCTGTTGTGGTCAAGCACAACCCTACTAATGTCTGTGTTATACTATAGACCATGGTTTCACAACAATTTTGATACCAGGGTCTGGCAAGTTATGGATCTCCTCTTTGGATTAAAAGTTCTCAGACAACTATCTGAGGGACCAGTTAGCAACATCTCAGGGACCAGTGCTGCTCCATGGACAAGACACAGACACACACCACTCTTAGGGATCTGCTGTTGCTTATTCATTGCAGTACAGAGGATAGGTAGATAAATAACACCATCTTCTGCTCACATGAATCATTACATTTCAGTATGGAAATAAACAATGGTTAAGGTTAAGATGACAGGGTCTGGTTTGAACTGTACAGTCCATTACTTCTATTGCAGTTAATGGACTAACAAGGCTACAGTGATTGACTTCAGCTTGTTGTGACCCTTACATCACTCAATAGGCCTATGTTCTGTACAATAGGCTTACAGCGAGAGGCAGAGTGACACAAAGGATTAATAACACTCTCAGCATCTTCCAAGCCTACTCAGTCCAGTGTTTCATCAAAATATAACCGGGGTTGCTATTCACAACATTTTAATATGTGTAAAACAGATTTCTTGTACATAGCAGAGCACATGCACAGATCTTTATTTTGGCTATTCAATGGCTTGGAACAAGTGCAAAGTTGATCTGAAAATGAATGTCTTTACTTTGATATGATGTAAGTAAACTGCAGTAACACATTGCTTATGAAACTAAATATGTACAAGCATTTTAAAAATGCTTTACTGATATACTTCATTCACATATTTGCAATTGGAGGTGCACATTCATGCTCAAGAGAAACATATAGTTTGAATCTGAGCCTGATATGAGTAAAAATGCCATACTTTTTAAATACATTTTAAAAGAAACATACACGAGCCAAATTCATAGTTATTTTTATTTTGTTATCCAGCACCTCTTGGGGGTTGAGAGGACATCCTGCAGGGGGCGTCACATGACAAGTGTATCCTCTCCAAAGTAAGCAGTAGGCTCTAACAGTAGAAAGGCCTTTAGGGAAGACTAGCAAGGCTATATTGTGAGTATCCCCTGAGTAGCATTTGAATATGATCTGTGTATTTGAGGCACGTATTTGTTCATTTATTACATCATGGACCTCGCAGAACCTCAGCATCTTTCAGAAAATAGATACTAAAGAGTATGTTGGTATATTATCAGTCAAAGACAATGAAAGATATAAAACTTCCAAAGCCTTTTTAGAGGTTTTGTACTTGAGGTGTTAAAGTGTTACAAGTTCTTATGAGGTCACCCATTATAACCCAACCTACGCTCGCATAAAAATCAAGACGGTTAGTTTGTATAAACATTAGCAGTTTCTCTAACTGTCCTCCCATCTTCCTCATTTCCCATGAGAGTATTACTAACCTCTGTAATCTAAGCAGTGATAAAAGCTGTCAACACTTTTACTTTTCTCTCATTCTTATGTGTAGGTTCTACCAGTTTGTACCTGCAACTGTTATGTTTCTCTCCATTAATTGGCAGTCTGACAGGGCAGTAGATTTTGCAATAATCAGATAAACCCCAGCCTTGCCTTTATCCTGTTAAGGCAAGCATGTGAACACAAAATGATGGAGAGACAAACTATCAAATTACCCCAAGCTAGTGCCAAAGTGGAGTCCTGACTTGCCTTGAACCCTTTGACTTAATAATGCTCAATAGGTCTAAAAACTGCTTTGACTATGTCCTTTTGTCTTCAAGAGTGCAAGCTAATAGATCAAAATGAAAGAAGACCAATAAATAATGTTTCTGACTGGAGCATTATAATGATAAGGAATAACTAATCACCTCCGTTATCCCATGTAATCTTTGGGAATGGTCTGTTTGACATGCTAAGGTTCTGGGTAGCTGTATGTCTTAGCTGAGTGAATGTGGTTGCTACTTGAATTTATTGTCCCTCAATGAATAACAAATTATTATTTCTATAGTTCAACAGTTCCCTCCCCTGAATATCATAATGAAGTGTTGAAAGCACCTGTGCCGAAGATATGTCAAAATTAATAGACAGAGATAATAGGAAAGGGGAACTTTGTGTCTACTGTACACACTTAATTACACAATTACTCAATTAATTTCAGCTTTACCTCACCATTTTTGATTGGAATGACAGTTCGGTATCCGCAAAAACTTGTTGAGTGGATGATAATTTGAGCAAGAATGTAATAAAAAGCTAATTCTCTCCGTGCTTACACAGAGATACTTTAATCAGTACTTCATATCCCCATGCTCCTTTTAAATAAACAAATCTAACTTGTATGAACTGAGCACTGAGTCACTAGCAGTGAATATCTGCTCAAATTCAAATGTTGATCCCTGTTTCCTTTGGACATTACAGCAATAGCTTTCAGATTGAATGGCGCCGGAGGAGATGGCTGCCGTTTCACGGGCTCCTAACCAATTGTGCTATTGTGTGTGTTTTTTCGTGTTATTTGTAACTTATTTTATACATAATATTTCTGCCGCCGTCTCTTATGACCAAAAAGAGCTTCTGGATATCAGAACAGCGATTACTCACCTCGTACTGGACGAAGATTATTTATTTAACGAGTCGGACGCAAAGGATTTACTTCAGACACCGGACAAGGCCCAAATCCCCATCAATCGCATGAAGAAGAGACAGAGATATCGGGGACGTAGGTCAGGTGCCTTGTAAGAATCCGACGGCGAGTGGGTAACCCGCCTCTACCTTCCGTACTATTAGCCAACGTGCAATCATTGGATAATAAACTGGATGAGCTCCGATCAAGACTATCCTAACAACGGGACATTAAAAACTGTAATAGCTTATGTTCCACCGAGTCGTGGCTGAACGACGACATGGATAACATACAGCTGGCTGGGTTTTCCGTGCATCGGCAAGATAGAACAGCTGCCTCCGGTAAGACAAGGGGTGGCGGTCTGTGTCTATTTGTCAATAACAGCTGGTGCACGAAATCTAATATTAAGGAAGTCTCAAGGATTTGCTCGCCTGAGGTAAGCTGTAGACCACACTATTTACCAAGGGCGTTTTCATCTATATTTTTTGTAGCTGTCTATTTACCACCACAAACCGATGCTGGCACTAAGACCGCACTCAACGAGCTGTATAAGGCCATAAGCAAACAAGAAAATGCTCATCCAGAGACGGTGCTCCTAGTGGCCAGGGACTTTAATGCAGGACATTTTAATCAGTTTTACCTAATTTCTTCCAGCATGTTACATGTGCAACCAGAGGAAAAAAAACTCTAGACGACCTTTACTCCACACACAGAGATGCGTACAAGCAACACTGAAGCATGCATGAGAGCACCAGTTGTTCCGGACGACTGTGTGATCACGCTCTCTGTAGCCGATATGAGTAAGACCTTTAAACAGGTCAACATTCACAAGGCCGCAGGGCCAGACGGATTACCAGGACGTGCACTCCGAGCATGCGCTGACCAACTGGCAAGTGTCTTCACTGACATTTTCAACCTCTCCCTGACCGAGTCTGTAATACCAACATGTTTCAAGCAGACCACCATAGTCCCTGTGCCCAAGAACACCAAGGTAACCTGCCTAAATGACTACCCGTAGCACTCACGTCTGTAGCCATGAAGTGCTTTGAAAAGCTGGTCATGGCTCACATCAGCACCATTATCCCAGAAACCCTAGACCCAGGCATGGGTCCTCAGATCCTCAAAAGGTTATACAGCTGCACCATCGAGAGCATCCTGACTGGTTGCATCATCGCCTGGTATGGCAACTGCTCGGCCTCCGACCGCAAGGCACTACAGAGGGTAGTGCATACGGCCCAGGACATCACTGGGGCCAAGCTTCATGCCATCCAGGACCTCTATACCAGGCGGTGTCAGAGGAAGGCCCTAAAAAATGGTCAAAGACTCCAGCCACCCTGTTCTCTCTGCTACCGCATGGCAAGCGGTACCGGAGCACCAAGTCTAGGTCCAAAAGGCTTCTTAACAGCTTCTACCCCCAAGCCATAAGATTCCTGAACATCTAATGAAATGGCTACCCGGACTATTTGATTTGATTTTATCAACTGTACCTATTTCATCACTTATTCTTCTCTCCACAGGTGAGACTGTTAAGAAACATGAGGTACAGGCCAAGAACAAGTTTGTCTTTGTTTGTCTTGGCAAATACAAAGAAGTCAGAGTTCTGGAACATTGATTATAGCATGTTCTGTATTTTGAAAAATCATGTCTTGATCAGTGCAAGTTGGGTGTGTTGTTTACACTGAGTGTACAAAACATTAGGAACATCTGCTCTTTCCATGACATAGACTGACCAGATGAAAGCTATGATCCCTTATTGATGTCACTTCAATCAGTGTAGATGAGGTGAAGATACAGGTTAAAGTAGGATTTTTAAGCATTGAGACATGGACTGTGTATGTGTGCCATTCAGAGGGTCAATGGGCAAGACTAAATATTTAAGTGCCTTTCAATGGGGTATGGTAGTAGGTGCCAGGTGCACCGGTTTGAGTGTGTCAAGAACTCTAACGCTGCTGGATTTTTCACGCTCAACAGTTTCCCGTGTGCATCAAGAATGGTCCGCCACCGCCACCCAAAGGACATCCAGCCAACTTGACACAACTGTGGGAAGCATTGGAGTCAACATGGGCCAGCATCCATATGGAACCCTTTCGACACCTTGTATAGTCCATGCCCCGACAAATTGAGGCTGTTCTGAGGGTAAAAAGGGGGTGCAACTCAATATTAGGAAGGTGTTCCTAATGTTTTGTTCACTCAGTGTATACCGGAAGCAGTCGGTCAGATATCTAGGATGCTGTATTGAGTAATAGTTTCAAAGCAGCATTAATAAGTGTAATAGCTCGCTAGCACAGTGGGGAGAACAAGTACACTGCTCAAAAAAATTAAGGGAACACTTAAACAACACAATGTAACTCCAAGTCAATCACACTTCTGTGAAATCAAAATGTCCACTTAGGAAGCAACACTGATTGACAATACATTTCACATGCTGTTGTGCAAATGGAATAGACAACAGGTGGAAATTATAGACAATTAGCAAGACACCCCCAATAAAGGAGTGGTTCTGCAGGTGGTGACCACAGACCACTTCTCAGTTCCTATGCTTCCTGGCTGATGTTTTGGTCACTTTTGAATGCTG